AAAAAAAAAAAAAGAAAGACTTCCGAATGTTAAATAAAAAGCAGGCCTCCTCAAACAGATTCTGACCTGAGGGCATCTAACAGTGAAAACTGGGGTCATTCCATCGCACTCGCCGTTCATCAGGTTGGGGTCTCCACCAGATCCCAGACCTTTACTCAACAAGCCAACAGACTTATAAGGCTCTAAGCACTTACTGAAAGCTGCTTTATGGACCAGTCACTGTGCCAGCTTCTGGGGATAGATAAAATACCTAGTTCCTGCCTACTGAGTAATGAGCAGGAAATAGCCGCTGTGCAGTGTGGGTCCTGTCTACCAAAGCAGGGTTAGAGGCAGGAGCCAAGCAACCTGTCTTCCAGTTTTCAGCACAGAGAAAGGCACTTTCTCTTTCAGCCACTTCCGCTCACCGAACTGAGCTTTCTCCAGTGCTCTGCATCCAGGGAGTGCTTGCCAGGAACTCAGAGGAACAAGAAGTTTGGGGCTTTCCCAGTTACTCCTGGCCTCCAGTATGGTGAGGGAAGGGGAACTGGCATTAACTGAGTGTTGACAACTTGTCATGCAGCCTGTGAGGCCCTCTACCTACATTATTTCTTATTCCCAAAATAGGAAAATGAGTATCCCTAATTTTCAGGCACATAGAGTTTCAGAGTTGCCATGGTTGCATGTCAGCAGTAGGATTTGAATCCAGTGTAGCCTGCAAACTCTGTGCTTTTGTCTCCAAAGCAGAGCAGCCCCGGAAGTGGGGCAACTGGAATGTCTGGAATCAGCAGGAGCAGGAGGTGCCAGCAGAGGCTCCCATCTCCCCAGGATCTGTCAGTCAGATCCCTAAGCCCTTCAGTTAACTATCCCTCTAATCCTAGGAGAAGCCTGGGTAATACCTCCCACCCAGAATCTGTATGGAACCTGACCCTATTTAGGGATTAGGTGATGGAGATAAATTCCCAAGGCAAACAGCCCTCCTGCTCCTTCATTCGCAGCACAAAACAATCAGATTAAGATGCAGACTTTGGGTTTTATTTGGAGATTAGTTGGTATTACAGATGACAGTGATACCAAAACCTAATGCTCCTATGCCCCTCTCTACCCCAAATCTGTTAGGTTGTTTCCAGAACCCTACGTCAGAGGGCAGCCAGTCTGATCTTTGTGAAAATTAAATCAGTGTAAGCCCTGGGCTCATATTTTTATTACTTTAATATCACTCCCCCTTCAGATCCATAGTTCTGATTAATTTGTCCAGGTGGTAGGAAGTCAGGAGAGGGGGCCCTGAACCATAAAAGGGTGGGTCTTCAGCAGCCTAGATTAGGAACAGCACTCTCCTAGCTCACCTAGCAGTTAACTGATGGCCTAAAGGGCCCTCAGGAGACAGGCAGCTGCCCCTTCTTCAGAGGGAGGAGTGGGAGAAGAATTGGGGACCAGGCCCGGCAAGAAAGGTGGAGAACATGGCCTCCTACCTCATCCTTCTGAAGGTACCTTCTGCCAAGACAATAGGCATGTACCCAGGAGGGGCTGGGGTGCTAGGCCGCAAGAGCTAACCACAGTCTGCACAGGGCCTGCACCTTAGCTAGCCTGGAGTCCAGTGGAGGGGAAGAATCCCTGAGCTAAACTCCCTTCCCATAGGAGAGTTTCGTTCTGTGAGAGAAGGGAGAAAGGGACCCACTTCTGATAATGTTAAGTCCTAACCAGGGCAGGGTGAGCTACAGGAACCAAAGGAGGGGTCTTGCAAGTTCTGGACCTAGATTAGGAGTGGTCCACATTGGTGACAATGGCTGAGGCATAGATGAGGTCAGACAGGCTACCCAGTGAGGTCTGGGGAGTAGCTTGCTCCAAGGAAAGGTATACCTCTGAAGCCCCAACTGATCCCCATGGGGCTGTGACTTTAGCCACCATCCATCCTTGCCCTGGACCCAAGTTAGGAGCTGCACAAGAGGCATGACAACGCACTGAGGCACGCTGAGGTGGGCCAGGGGATGGTGGTGGCTGCCTCAGCACTTGGGGTTCCCAGGGCTGCTGGAGGGTGTCTGGAAGAGAACAGGAGCTCTGAGGGGGTTCGGAGCTGGGGCTTAGACCTCCTGGTTTTCTGTTCTTGATTCTCTTGGCTCGGCGGTTCTGGAACCACACCTGCTAGGGAAGAAGGGGTCTATTCTGGTTCCAGTCTTCCCCCTCCCCAGGACAGAGAAAACAATCCAGAGAGAAGGAGCTGTCATGCCCAGAAGCTGGCTGTCAGAGAGTATCCCTGCCTGGAGGAGGGGAGATCACAGCTCACCTGTATCTTGGCCTCAGGAAGGTGGGTGACCTGGGCCAGGTGCTCACGGGTGCTGATGTCAGGGTAGGGTCGCGCAGCAAATACCCGCTCTAGCTCCAGCAACTGCCCTCTGCTGAAAGTGGTCCGCTTCCTCCGGTGGAGACCCATCCCACTGGTGCGGCCTGCAGCCCAGGTTGGGGATCAAGACAGGACTCCTGCAGCAACATCTCCCCAGCTTCAAAGCCCTCTACTAATCCTGAAGTCCTTATTCCCAGACCTCATCCACCTTCTCCACCCCACCTGCCCCATGTCCTGACCCTGCCCACCCTTTCCCCATCAGGTCACCTGCTGGGGATGCATCCACAGGACTGGCCATGGAGCTGGCAGAAAGCGAGGAGCCAGAGGGCCATGTCAGAGCTGGGCCCACACCAGACCTCTCCATTTGGGCTTTATCCTACTCAGCGTGTCTGCCCCCACCTCAGGAGGGAAGAGGTTTAGCGTCCAGCTCAAGCAGGGTAGAGAAGTCCCAGGAGAAGGTAGGAAGCCCAGGGACAGGGTTGGGGTTTATAGGGGTATGGGTAGGGCAAGATTTGTGGCCCCTGCCCCTGCAGGGCTTCACAAAGAAAGCTGGTCCCAGCCTCCTTCCTCAAACCTCAAACTCTGGCAGTCTGTCCCTGAAATCCTACACTTCACAAAAATTCTCCCAGGGCTCCTTCTAGGAAGCCAAAGAGAACCATCTCAGGGCTCCCAACTGTCAGCTGCCCTTTCTGGAACCCTCAGTGCCCTGGTCCTGGCTGCCTTCAGGGGACAGTGGGTGGCATCCTATCCCACAGCTGAGGGAAGCTGGGCTAGTGAAGCTGGGCAGGATGAAAAGGAGGATAGGGTGACAGTGGGAGGAGCGGGAGCCACCTGCTTTCAACAGAGCTGGGAACAGATGTCACCACCAGATCACTGTGGGGTCTGCTTTATTGCTGTGTCTGTGTAACTCTCTCTGGCCCCTTGATAGCCCCGGTGGGCTTCCTAGAGTCCAGAAGCCTAGAATCAGAGAAGGTTCCTTCAATGGGTGCAATTGAGAGGGTTTAAGAAAAATAATTTTACAGTGTCCTCTATTTTGGAAGTCTTCTAGGGGCTTTTTTTTTTTTTTTTTTTTGCAGGTTTTGGCCAGGGCTGGGTTTGAACCCACCACCTGTGGCATATGGGGCCAGTGCCTTACTCCTTTGAGCCATAGGTGCCGCCCAGCTTTTTTTTTTAGACAGAGTCTCACTCTGTTGCCCTGGGTGGAGTATCAAAATGGCATCATAGCTCACAGCAACCTCAAATTCTTGAGCCCAAGCAATCCTCTTGCTTCAGCCTCCCACATAGGTAGGACAACAGGCACCTGCCACAACACATGATTTGTTTTTCTATTTCTAGTAGAGACAGGGTCTTGATCTTGCTCAGACTGGTCTCAAACAATCCATCTACCTTGGCCTCCCAAAGTGCTAGGATACAGGTGTGAGCCACCACGCTAGGGGGCTGTTTTACTAAGGGGGGGGGTATCTGTGAATTTCCTATAAGTTCCTGCCTTTCCTTATTTCTCCTGACTTCACTGTCCCCCATCCCAGACCCTAGGCAGAGGCCTCAAAGAAAGGCCCACTCTTGAGGTGGTTTGGGGGAACACAGTCACTGCTTCCCCAGGTGCTCACTCAAGCCTGAGCTAACTGGATTTCAGACTCAGGATGGGAAAAAAGCTGAGCTAGGAGCCGCTACCTCTTTCCCTTTCTCTCTCTTCTAAAACCCTAGTCAACTCCAGAGGGCAAAGCAAGCATCACCAGCGAGGTAACTTGTCATTATCAGAGGGGCTCAAAAGAACCACCTGCTTGGCTCGGCGCCTATGGCTCAAGTGGCTAAGGCGCCAGCCACATACACCTAAGGTGGTAGGTTCGAATCCAGCCTGGGCCTGCCAAACAACAATGAC